TCCATCAGCGTCACGAGCACGTCGTCCGGCAGGTGCTCCATGTCCTGCGGGAACACAGAGCATAACTGTGGTCAGCTTCACCTTCTTTACATACCGCGATCGCTCAAGGACGCCGCCGACGCGACGCCGCCACTGTCGACTTACTTACCTCTTTGTTTTGAGCTGACGACCGAACACGAGCAGCAGGAGGGAAACTGGACTGCGACTTTGCCAGAGGTGGTCTTGCGAGATGCGGTGTGTGCGCTGTGCACCTAGGACCTGAAGTGCCTGGGCTGGTGGTAACTGCGAAGAGGACCAGGGCTGCTAGGCCAGGCGTCATCTGACTGCGACTGGGGATGGGGATCAGGTGGGGATGTCCCCGGCCACATATGGGACCTCCCTTCGAGTAGCCCCCCCCCCTTCCTCCCCCCCTGCGTCGAGGACTGACTCCTTTCCGGGGTTTTAGCCCCCCCCCTCTCTCTCTCGTCGCGATGGTGACGCACCAAGGGGGGCGCAGTGCACCATGGGACCACTTTAAGGGACTGATGGGGGAGTGCGCCAAACTTTCAAACTACAACAATGAGCAAAGTCATTTCGTTTTGCCGACGAGGAGAACTTATATTTTAAGTTCACTTGGATTCGCAGGAAGCGCTAAAGGACACGTCGGGGCTAGAAATCATTATCACTTCATTTTGATTTGCAAATTTGCTGGGTCATAAGTATAATTTTATTTATTCCAAATTAATCATCGCAGCGACATTCATTTTAACGGGTAGTGACTCTAGAATCTACTTGTTATAAAACATTTTTTGACTAAAGCGACGTAGCCTATAAACAAGACGCCGCGATACCGTCGTCTGGCTGGGGCCTCACCGCCCGCCGCGGCCCCGCCCCCGCTGCTGGATGTGGGTCCACAGGTGCTGCAGGAGTCGCTCGCGCTTCCGGAACGTCCCGCCGCACTCGGTGCAGAGGAACGGGTGCGACGCGACCTGGTACGGCAGCTGCTGCACGGCCTTGAGGGGGACGTGCTCCTTGAGGTGGTGGTACAGGGCCCGCCTGTCGCCCTGGGGTTTGTGGCAGAGCGGGCACCCGAAGGGCGGGGTGCGCACG